TCATGTCATTGACCACAGTTTACCACAATGCAACAGCTCCCTTCCCACTTCTTCCCCATAGTTACCTCTTCCCAGTGTCCATCCCTCCATACTCTCCTACCCCCTTAAGCTGTCTCCCTGTGCACAAGCAGCCCTTCCTTCTCCCTTGATCAAAAACAGCAATACTATTAAAAATACTCATATAGTATCAGTTTCTAGAGGTTTCAGGTATCATCCTTGCTCTTGATTTAATCTATAAAGTTCAATTCCTTTTATAAAACTTATACAAATATATATTCTAAATCTTAAAAGAGTCATCTTATTTATGAATGCTAACACTTGACAAGCTTGAGTTGGGTATACAGATTTAAGGTCAATTACCTAGTTAGGTATATTGATTCCTCTTCAGTAAAATGGTTATTTCACCAGGTTGTTATGAGGGTTAAATACAAAGAACTGCCAAACACTCAGCACAATGCCCAGAGTATAGAAGACATTCAATAAATAGTAGGTCTTATTATCTGCTAAAGAGCAGATAACTTTTTATTATTCCAATGCATCCTGAAGTTACTATACTTTTTTTTTCATTGTGATTTGGGTATAAGTTTACAGAGCAAACTCATTTTCCATATAGCAGTTCATACACATTTTGTTTCATGACATTGACTGCAATCCCCATAATGTCATAGCTCTCTTCCTACTTCCACCCTGTGGTTATCTTTTTCCTGTGTCCTTCTTTCCTATGCATTCCTGCTTTCTGAGCTTTCTCCCTACAATTTTTTTTCCCAACATTTCAAGTGTGAAAAAAAATTCTCAAACATTTACCTGGAAACTTCTGAGAGTCATAAAACTAGTAAGTAGCACAGAAATATTAGTTTAACACAACATGTCCCTCAAAACTTTAGAAATCTTTTCAAAGCAATAAGGAAAATCCAACAAGTTCCTACTATTCAAAGATGAGAAAGAACCCAACCTCCACCACTTACTAGCCATCTGACCTTGGGCAAGTTATTTAATCTCTCTGAGCCTGAGCTGCCCTATATGCCAAACGGAGATAGTACTATAACCTACCATGAAAACTGATTTAAGTTTATATATTGTATTAGTTCACTATTATAAAAAGTCAAAGAAATGTTTACATATGGAAGGAAACTTTCTTGGTTAACAGGGATGGGATGGGTGGGGATGCAACACTGTTAGAGAGGTAGAGGCAAGTACTGATGTGGGTGAAGGGAAAGGTAATATGCCAAAAACGAGTGACCAATACAATAACACGAAGGAAAAAGAAGACACAAAGAGGTGCCCTAGAGGCATACACAACCAAGATAAACCCTTTTACATATACAATACTGCACTATCAGTGATAACATACCTTAATCTATGGGTAACTAGATGATAGACAGACGGACTGATCAGGTGTAATCAGGCAAAAGGGAATATACCCATGACCATATAGAAGACTGGCAGATGGTATTTCTACATACGTATTTGTATGTGCTGTAACAATGTCCATATTTATAATAGAGCTAACAAGGGGCAAAGTAATAATTTCTTGGCCACAGTCAACCACCCTGAGCGAGCAAGTTGTTGGACCTGTGGACTCAGGACCATGTCACAGGAGACATCAAACTCAACTGGCATAACATGCTACACAAAAACATTGTTCTACATCCTACTTTGGTGAGTAATGACTAGGGTCTTAAAAACTTACAAGTGGCCATCTAGATGCAACAATGGGTCTCTCTTCATCCAGAGCAAAGAAGAATGAAGAAAACAAAAGACAGAAACAATTAGTCTAAGGGACCATGTGAAACTTAGTCTATAAGACCATGAGAAAAGAACAACTAGATGGTGCCCAGCTACTACTGTCAACCACTTGGAAAGGGATCAGTGCAGGAGATCCTGCATAGAGAGGACAATGTAGAACAAAATTCAAAATTATAAAAAAAGACCAGTTTTACTGGTCTGATAAAGCCTGGTGAGACCCCTGAAACTATGGCCCTAGTTACATTTCAGGTCTGGAATTGAACTCATTCCCATGGCTTCCAGCCAAATAACAGACATATAGGATAAACATTTATATCAAGTAGATACACTCCTTAGAACAATCAATCATGGGAAAACAAGGGCAGTATTTGCAAAGGGAGATAACTCAGGGGGCAGGAATGCATAGGTAAGAAGGACACAGGGAAAAATAACTACAGGAGAAAGTGAGAAATGATGTGTTACACTGTGGGGAACTGCAGTTAGTGTCATGAAACAAAATGTGCATGAATTGCTGTATAGAAGATGAATTTGTTCTGTAAACTTTCACCCAAATCACAACAAAAATTTTTAAAAAATAAATAAAGAAGTCTTTTGCAGCAGGGAAAAAAAAAAGATTAAAGTTTAAAACAAGTTAATATATGTAAAATGATTAAAATATAATAATGCCAGGCATATAATAAGTATTTTCACCACTGTGATGATGATAATAATGATGGTGATGGTGATAGATTGATTCTTAGAAAATTTTACTTTAAATAAGTATAGACTGAAAAAATGTATGAAAAAAAGAAAATGTGAAAAAATCTTAAATATCTGCTAGAAAAAAAGATAATAAAAAATGGTACCCAAAGTTAAGAAAATACTACACAACAAAACCATGAATGAAAATTTTAAGGACAATAACAGAGATAAAAAAGCTAAGAGACTTTTTTATTGTCGTAAATTCTGAAGTTTTGAGTACATTTTTTTAAACTTCCTAAAATAAAAATCTGTAAATAATCACCAAGTCTTTAGTGAATATTTAGTTTTAAAACTTAATGGTACTATTTCTAACCATGTTGCCCAGGGCTTTGCTTAAATGGAATATCCCAGGTTAGATGATAACAAGTTGAGGTCTAGCTCCATCTCCTGGTCAAAAATGGCAAGATCATTAAAAATACTTACGCAGCTTCAGTCTGTAGAGGATTTAGGTATCGTCCTTGCTCTAGATTTAATCTATAAACTTCAGAGCTACAAAGTAATAAAGAAAAAAGTCTGGTAAACTACAGTGGACTTTAACTAAATGAAGTATCAATTCATTCATAAAGCATCAATTCCCTTTGTAAAACTGACACAAATGTGTATTCTAAACCTTAAAAAGGAATCATCTTATTTAGGAAGTTATGAATTCATTCACATATAAAAGTGACTTAAACCAACCATGGGCCAAGGAAATATGAAGTTATGAAATAGAACATTACTAACAAATAACATGGATTCTCTAGTTTATAAAAGTAAAAAAAAAAAAAAAAAAACCAATCAAGATTCAAAAGTATATATAATAAATCTATGTATACTTATGAGAGTTCTGGTGGCATAATGCCTAAGGCATCTGACTGCTAACCAGAAGTCTGGCAGTTCAAAACCACCAGCCACTCTCCGGAAGGAAGACTGGGCAATCTACTTCTGTAGTGATACTGCCTCAGAAATGCAAGGAGGGGTCACTATGAGTTGGATCTGACTTGACAGCAATGAGTTTTTAGTAAGTATGTATACTTACAAGAAAAGACTAGAAGGAAATACAGTAAAATACTAATAAAGGTATTATTAGCATAGTATTTCTCTAGGTGGATTACGGCGATTTTTTCTTCTTTATGCTTTTCTATGTTTTCTCAATTTTCTAAAATAATGTTATTTCCTAAATCATAAAAAGGACAAGCATTTAAGAAAAAGCTTTAAAATACCATGTAATAGGGCAATGAAACTGGCTTCATCAATATTGCTCCCTATTAGGTTACCAAAGAAGCTCTAGTGGTATACTGGTTAAGGCATTTGGCTGCTAAAGGTCGGTGGTTTGAACCCACCAGCCTGCCCACAGACGAAAGATGAGGCACTCTATTTCCATAAATATTTACAGCCTTGGAACCCCAATGGGAGAGCTCTGGTAGCATAGTGCCTGACTGCTAACCAGAAGGCTGGCGGTTCAAACCCACCAGCCACTCCTTGGAAGGAAAATGGGGCAATCTACTTCCGTAGTGATACTGCCTTGGAAACCCAAGGAGGGGTCGCTATGGGTTGGGTCCAACTGGATGGCACATAACAACAACAACATTTCTCTGTCCTCAGATTTAGGCAATAAAAGTCAAAGACATAATTTCTAAATGAGCCAATCACTTTAAAACTATATTCTTTAAGCAAGCTAAAGACAGAGATCATGTTTTATTCTTCTTTAGACTCCTCCTCCCATTTTTTTTTCTTTTTAACCAGAGTCCTAAATCACATGAGGCCTTAATCACAAACTGGTCCAGATATAACTCATCACTGATGCTGAAACAAAGCAGGAGCTACTAGCATTTGTAAATAAACAGAAAACTGGGGAATGAAATTAAAACTGTATTATGTCTAATAAACTGGGGCAACTGGACTATGCTATACAGGCTTGAATATTTCCTACTAGTATTTCCTGTTTTAAGCACTGGGAGAAGTTAACTACCACAAATATTTTAACACTAAAAATATATATATTAAATGAAATAGTAAGTATTAAACAGTACGTTATAATACCACTTATAAATCATATGTATCAATATGTAAGCAATTATTTCTTTTGTTCTTTTTACTTATTCCTGATTTCTAAGGTTTGGTGTTTTTTATTTGTTGTTTTTTATAATAACCACATCTCACTTGTGAATTTTTGTAACAAATCAAGTTATTTAAACAAATAAAATATAAAAGAAATTTTAGAAACAGAAATTGTCTTAGGGGATGAAAAGAAGAAAACAAAGAGTGATGAAATCCAATACCTTGCACCAACGAAGTACAGGTCACAGGATGGATAATGGTAAGAGAAATCTCTCCCAAACTTTGGTATTCTGGTTTTGTAGTAAAAACCTTGTTGTGAGTGAAACTCAATATACCTATCATCATGTAAGAAGACAATCTGAAAATGAAACAAGAAAATCAGTTTGCTTAAGTTTTGAGACAAAATGTTTACTTTATCATTACTACTAAAACTGAGAGAAAAAAACAATTTCTGATCTCTCCCTCTTGCTCTTTTGCTCTTTAAACACATACCTATATATTCTATCTACCTTTCCATTGGTTTCTTAATGCCATCTTGCATCATGGACAGGTTTTCTGCAAGCCTTACTTTCTAAATGAAAAACTTAAAAACATAACCTTTATTTTTCTGGCACCAGCATTTTATAAAGCAGAGCACTGCATAGTAACTTCAGTGAGTAATTTCTCATTTCACTTAGGCGCACATTTTAATAACACCCCAATTATCACACAAACTTGGATGAGCCTCCTTGCACAAACTTAACTTTAATATATCACAAAGGTATTTTAAAAATCTGCAGATGACATTTAAAAGCAAGTTTATCATTATTTAGACAAAATGCAGTGTAAAATCACATTCTAAAACAAATTAAAAATGGCTACCACACACAAAAGGATGAACTGTATTCCTTAATTTCCTGAACCGAAGACAACATATAAAGCCATAATAAAGCATACTTAGCCAACTAAGAAAATTCAGTTTGTCTTTAAGATGACATGTGACTAAAAACTTTTAATTTAAAATTGAACAAGGACTTTCAGACTGATAGTACCAAAAAAAAAAGGAAAGAAGTAATCTATTTAGCTGTGTCTTGAACTGTTTCAGAATATGCTACAATCCTGTACAGAGTTAAGAAAATCATACAACAACACAATTTTACTTTCCACATGTGAATAAGAATGTGAAAGCAACCTGGCAAATAAATATATCTTTAATGCAATAACCAGACCCACAAATCTACAACACAAAACAGTCAAAAAAAATTACTTCTAACCATTCTTTAAGATATAAATAAGGTTTCACATATCATGTGAAAAACTCATTTTAATATTAAACTATCCAAAGGCTATTTCTATCAGTTATTTCTAAAGACTAATTATCATACGTGTGATAAATTAAAAATATATTAATAGAAAATGTTTAGTTACATTTTACTACACAGACATCTTTAATTTAACAATGCAAACATTATGAAATTACTTATAACAAAAATACAATTCCAGTCATTCATGTCTTAACTATTGCAGGAACAAATCAATGCTCTCAAACATACCTTGGAATAGTCATCAGATAAAATTTCAAAGGTGACAACTGAAAAACAAGAAATAGTTGGAAAAATACAATTATCAATAGAAGCTTTTAATGAAAATGCAAACTCAACACTAAGGAAGAATTCTAATTCACCACAGAAATTATACACAAATACTGCTTTTTTTCTTTTTTTGCCACTACATAAGACAAGAATAAAATTTCCATGTTGTACTGCCCCAAAACACCAAATAGCAAATTAAAGGCTTTACTAGTTCTCACTGCAGATCAAGTGGATTTTCTATAGAACTAAAGACAATTAAAAACAGGTAAATTCACAAATGTAATGACAAATTCTTCTGTTTTTTAAGATTTCCAAATCTAAATCAAAAAACTTTCTAAGACTGATACTTTAAAAAAAGGTAACAGTACCTTTTACCCAATTATAGTATACCTGCTAAAAAAACAAAAGACCTAAAACAGTTATCATTAGCAGTCCACAGGGCTTCTATTGTTTTCAAAAAGCAAAGGGTGAAATAAGTTAGGAGTATGTTTATAATCTTATAGAATTCATATTTTACTAACTTCTTTTACCTCAATTTCAAAAATCACACCAAATAATAAATATACTTAAAATTTCCCACTTTAGCTTGCCATGGGTGTTTAACAGAATTCTAAGAATAACCTTCACCCTTATACAATCACCTCCTCTTAGGATGTAAGCAGAACCTGTGATATGAGACATCACTCCCATGATTACATTACATTATGACAAAAGGGAGATTTACCAAAGTAAGCTTACTCTAACCACATGAGCCCTTTAAAAGCAGACTTTTCTCGGGCTAGCTGCAGAAGAGAAAGTCAGAGAGATTTGAAGCAGTCCAGGGACCCAATCAGCCGTTATTTGCTGGCTTGAAGATGGAGGGAGCCATGTGAGAAAAGAATGCAGGTGGCCTCTAGAAGCTGAGAGTGATCACCAGCTGACAGCCAGCAAGGAAACAGGGACCCTAGCCCTATACCCACAGGAAACGAATTCTGTCAACAACCTGAACAGATTCGGAAGCAGATTCTTTCCCAGAGCCTCTAGGTAAGAACCCAGCTCATCTGACACCTTGAGTATAGAGCCTGCATGGAATTATGACCTACAGAATTGTGAATCAATAAATGATATTTCTCTAAGCCACTAAGTTTGTGCTAATTTGTTACACAGCGTGGTAAATTGCTTGATATGGCCCTTCTAGCCATTGTCCTTCATTCTGTGATGTAATCCTATTATCCATGCCTGTTTGGGGTGGTGTGGTAGTTAAGGTCAGGTATCAACTTGGCTGGGTAGCTGGTAGTAGTCGTTCCCTATAATGACTGGCAATCGGCTCTGTGATGGGATTTGCCTTGAACTGCTGATTATTAAAGCCATCCACTTAGGTTATTTCTGTTGGGGCAACACAAGTGGAATGTATCTTGAGTCCTGCCTTGCTTCAGGGTATAATTCAAGGCACCACACTTAGCTTCTTTGAGGGTATATCTCCTGGGAAGGTTCGCCCTCCTCTTGCTTCAGCTTTGTGTTTTGGCTCATCCTCATCTCACCCCCTGGATTTGGGACAGCAGCCGTCATCTGATCTGCCGATCGAGGTTCATCAAACCCCGAGAATTGGGAGAATCCTCCAGACCCACTCACGAACCTGGGACTCACCAGCCTGCCATCTTCCACCACTACTATGTGAGACGATCCCTTGGGTGTCTGTGAATTCTGTGAGGCATTACAGCAAAATACAGAACCCTAAGACGGGAAATTACTGTAAGGAGGAGGAGTTAATGTCTGAAATGATAGAGTGGCATAGTAGTTTGGACATTTGGGACATCTTTAACCTCTGCCTCATGGGGACTGGCTTTGTACTGATCTTTCTGAGAGAAATTGTTCAAGCACACAGCAATCAACAACTAATACACCTTCTATTCCCATCTTAAAAAGCAGAAAAGCAGCCAAATAAAAAAAGCTATTTTCATGAAGGAAAAGTGAAGAAATAAACAGTGGTGATGGTTGAACAACATGATGAATATAATTAATGTCATTGAATTGTACATGCAAAAATATGTTAAAACAGAAAATATTTTGTTACATATATATTTACCACAGCTTTTATTTTTTTCAAAAGGCAATTTTCATGAATTTAAATCTAACCTCTTACTCACCTTCTGAGTCTAAACATCTTTCAAACTTCAAGGATAATTGATAGGTGTCGTAACATCGAACTCGAGGTTTATATGTCCCTATAAAAAATTAGTATGATGTAAAAACATATAGAGCATACTTTTCATAGATAATATCCTGCATGTATGGGGAGTATATCTTTTCTTCAGTGCTAGATAGGATTGATTATAGCTCTATCAAAAGAAAAGGATTTAAAAACAACCCCTCCTAAACACCCTAAGGAGGAAATGAACAATGGATATAAACAAGCAAGTCAAAGAAAATGAAACACAAATACTAATAAACATCACTAATAATCTAACAAAAGAAGATGAAAAGAGACAACTGTTTTCCCTATCTGATTGACAAAGATTAAGCAGATGCTTAATATCTGGTGTTGGTGGCGGTGGTGTTGTTGTGTGCCGTGGAGTCGGACCCGACTCATAGCGACCCCTCCATGGGTTTCTGAGGCAGTATCGCTACGGAAGTAGATTGCCCAACCTTCCTTCCGAGGAGTGGCTGGTGGGTTTGAACCGCCAGCCTCCTGGTTAGCAGTCAAGTGCCTTAGGCATTATGTTACCAGAGCTCCCAAGAAAACTGAAAAGGAAATAGTCTCATACACTGTTGATAGCATACAACTAGTTTGAAGAATAATCTGGTAATATTTATAAAATACATAATTTTTGAGGAACCTCAGTACCACCAAGAAAGAATAGCTGGGAGTATAGAGTGTCCTTCGGACCCAGGGTCCTTTTGCTGAGAATTTCCTAGTAAGGGAGAGATTAATGCCAAGGCACATGGAGATCTCCAAGGAATGCTTGGTCCACAGAACCTAAATAGACAAGGACCTTCCTTCCAGAGCTGACAGAGAGACAAAGCCTTCCCCTAGAGCCAGTACCTTGAAGTCAAGCTTCTAGTTCCTAAATTATGAGAAAATAAATCTGTTAAAGACAAAAAAAAAAAATTATATGCATGTACACAAACACACGTTTATACATCTTGACTCTGTATTTTAACTTATCCTAAAAAAATACACCTACAACTGTACCAAAGATATGAAGAATGTTCACTGCAGCATTGTTTATAAATGACCAAAAACTGAAAGCAAATAAAATGTCCATCAATAGGGAAATGATTAAATAAACAATGGTAAATCCATAAAATGGAATATTACATGGCCCACACAGAGGATAAGGAAGACTTATTATTGAGATGAAAAGCTGCCAAAATGTATTATAAAGTAAGAGAAAATACAGAGAGCCCATGAGCAAGCAAGTGAACATTGCGAAATAATGCATATATTATCCTATTTTTTAAAATCAAACAATAATGTTAGCAGTTTGTCTAGAAAAGAGCTGGAGACCTAGTTTGTAAGTAGTGTCTGGAGTCTTAAAAGTGCAAATGGCCATCTAAGGTACAACTAGTGGTTTCTATGTCCCTGGAGCAAAAGAGAAGGAATGAGACCAAAGACTCAAAGAAGAAGCTAGTATAGAGGACTAACAGTCTACATGAACCATGGCCTCACCTACCATAAGACTAGAACTAGATGGTGCCTAGCTACCCCACTGACCTTTCCAACCAGGACATAATAGATGGTCCTAGATAAAATGGGAAAAATATGTAGAACAAAACTCAAAACTGCTACAAAAAGGCCGATTGTACCAGCAGAGATTAGAGGAACCCTCAAGACTATCATCCTGGGATACCTTTTGCAGTGTAGTAAATTATTTTTTATGGCTTTTCTACTCATAAGTCATTGTAAACTCAGTGGTGGAATGAGCAACTGAGGAGCTCCTGATTGTAAATGTTATCCACGTGGAGTATTTCTGTTGGGCGTGGCACAACACAATGTTATGGGAGGTTCCCACTCTCTCTCAGGTGCTTAGAGTTCTGATGCTGTGATTGGCTAGTTTGACCATCCTGCCGGGTCAAAAGGAGGCCTCCTAGAGGCAGAACTCGCTCTGACTGCTGGTTGAGGAAGACGTGCTACTGAAAGAGACACGAACCCCGGAAAGAGACATGTGCTGCTGGGAAAGAGGCGCAAGAGACACGCATCGCTGAGTGAGACACTGAGGGACCAGAACTGCTGGGAAAGAGACTGTCAGAGACTGTTGGCTGAGGGACGGTGGGCTGGAAGAGAGACTGAGCATTTTTTCCTGAACTTGAGTTGTAGCCTGGTGCTTCCCTAATAAACCCCGTAATCCGTGAGTTCTGTGTGGCGACTGCAGCGAATTATCGAACCCAGAGGAGAGGTGGTGGGTGCTTTGGGAGGAACAGTGGGTGAAAGGGCTGGAGGGAGGCGGCATGTCTGGCCTTGTAGGAATAGGCTTTGGGTTACTGCTGGTAATCCTGTCTTCCTCTTGTAGGATTAGAGGAGGTCAGAACACGTGGCCTCCTTGTCGTTTTTGCACCTTTTAAACTTGGAACTGAAATCACTCCTGGAGGTCAACTATCAGCAGCTAAAAGATAGAGTGGCTCATAAAATAAATAAATCATCTGTGAGTACTACGCTCCTCCAAACAATCTAGACCACAGATGAAAAGGTAAGGAGGGACAAGATGGATTAATGGAAACAAAAGCACCAGAATGGAAATAATGAGAATGCTGACACACTGTCGTAAGTATAACTGATGTCACTGAATAATATGTACAGAAATTATTAAATGAAACCTAATATGCTGTATCATTTTCTCCAGAATCACAACAAAATATTAAAAAAAGAGAATTAGAGAAAAAAGCACTACCTGCACAGCAATTGTTTATCTCTGTGAAGTGTAATTTTGGGGACATTCATATTTCATGCTTTGTACTTCTGTAATGTTTGCTTTTTATTTAAGTTTCTCATGTTTACAATCAGGAAAAGAAATAGATCAATTTTTAAAATCAATAAAGACATTTGAAAAAGAAAAGCATGAGGTAATCTTACATTTACTGGGATGAATCAAAGTCTAAGATCTCATTAAAAAGGACATATACTAGAAGCCCCCTATTACATGATGTTAATTTTAGTAGATTTGTATATACATATGTGCATCTGTTTCTGTATTTCTCTGTGTGTGTGTAAAAAAATTTGAAAAGCTATTTACTAACCTATTGAGGAGCTCTGGTGGCACAGTACCTAAGGCATCTGACTGCTAACCAGAAGGTTAACGGTTCACACCCACAAGCCACTCAACAGAAGGAAAATGAGGCAATCTAAAAAGGGACCAGTTTTGCTGGTCTGACAGAGCCTGGTGAAACCCCTGAGACAATGGCCCCTAACTGCCCTTTAGGTCTGGAATTGAACCCACTCCTGTGGCTTCCAGCCAAACAAAAGACAGGCATATGAGCTCAACATTTGCATTAGGTGGATGCACTCCTTGGAGAGATCAATTATGGGAGAATAGAAGGGCTGTGTATGTCCAGGGAGACAGCTGGGGGCGGGGGGGGGGGGAATGCATAGGAGGGAAGGACACAGGGAAGAGGTGGCTACGGGGAGGAAGTAGGAGGAGACCTGTTGCACTGTGAAATGCACTATGAAATAAAGTGTATGTGAACTGCTGTATGGAAGATGAATTTGCCCTGTAAACTTTCACCCAAATCACAACAAAGTATAAAAAATAGTAATAATAAAAATAATGTAAATAAGGTAAAAAAAAAAAAAAATGAGGCAATCTATTTCCATAAAGATGTACCACCTTGAAAACCCAATGGGGTTGCTAGAGACAGAACTGACTTGATGGCAATGGGTTTGTTTGTTTGTCTTTTTAACACCAAACTGTTAATATCTGGAAAACTTTCACTACTTCTTTTTGTATGTTTGTTTTAGGTGGGTTTCTTTGAACTTCTGTATTGTTAGAAAGGATGACGTATATTACTTTGACCATCAGAAAAAAAAAAAATGTGACAAAAAATATAAGTAGAAGTAGCCCTCTGGTTAGCTTGTTCTTTTACTCACAAGTACCTACAAAGGCTAACAACACCCTAAGAGTAGATTTCAATCTGGCATGATTACATCCAGTAACAAATCAATAGTTAGCACATCTCTTTGGTTCATTTCTTTGGAAGGTCGATTTCCCCAACTAGAATTAAATTCCTTGAAGGGCTGGGTCATGACAATTTTTATTTCAGTTTCAGGGCCTAGAATAAGAAATAGACACAGAGATAGAGATCAAAAGAGAAGAACCTCTATTAAATTAAATAAAGAAGCAAGTGATACCTCCAAGTCCACTTCCCTGACCAATACCAGCAAAAGGACTCTTGAGAAAAACTGAACCAAAGGGACTTTGAACTTGAGCATGATGTTGTTCAATATGGTGTGGCTCTTAAAGTTAAAATTAAAAATTCATTTCCTCACACTAGCCACATTTCATGTATTATTTATTTAATATTATTTTAAAGAGATAAACAAAACGTTCTGAATGAGAAGGGAAGAAATTAATTTTTCCTAGACATAGCGGATAATTTCATAATTAAAACTGTAACTGAACAGATATTTAACTTCTTATTTAATCTGTATCCTTGTTCTATCAAGTACTGGATCTGGGAGTTTAGACAAGTCACTTATTATCTCTGAAGCAGTAGATGTTCCCTCAATTCCTCAAAGAGGTATTTAGTGCATCCATGTATCTTGGATTTCATATTGCCTTTAACAGTTTATGAATATAAAACTGGACACTAAAAGATGCAGACAGTGTTAACACTGAGATAAACTAATACAGAACCAAAGAGACTGGCATGTGTACATATATAACATTCTAACAAACATGAAAGGGGATGGAAAAGAGGTATAGATGGGTATTGTTAAACCAGTGAAAAAATATATGTGGACATATATACCAAAATCACAAACAAAAAAGGGTGGGTAATACTGTTCTAAATTACGACACATAAAAAGTTTTCCTATTCCATGGCTTTTTGATAATGGTAATGAAAGTAATGTAAAATCCTACTTATACAAAAACTTTAGTACATGATATTGAAAATCATTATGTTAAAAGTGAACTTTCCTGGAACTTTAATTCATTGTTGGTGGGAGGATAAAATGATATGATCCCTTTGGGAAAAGATCTGGCAGTTTCTTATAAAACTAAACATACACCTACCCAAAGGCCCAGCAATTTCACTCGTAGATATTTACCAAAGATAAATGAAAGCGTATGTCTTTAAAACATAAAAGCAGATGTCCACAAAAAAGATTTGTACAAGACTGTTCATGATGCTATATTAACAACAGCCAAAACATAAAAACAGCTCATATATCTATTAACTGGAGAATGAATAAATTGTGATATAGTCATATAATGGAACACTATTTGGTAACAAAAAGGAACAAACTACTGACACATGAAACAACATAGATGAGCTTCAAACACAAATTAGTTTTACACAAAAAGAATGCATAAACTTGCTTGGGGGGGTGGTGAAGAAAATCAGCGCAGGTGTGGCTTCTGTATGGGTGGGAGCAGGGACTGACTATGAGCAGCATAAGGGGATTTTTCTAGGGTAAAAGGAATGTTCTGCATCTTGATAGAGGTTTGGGTTATAGGTGTGTGCATTTGTCAATACTCATCGTAAGGGTAGATTTAAGATCAATGCATTTCACAATATGTAAATTTGAACTAAAAAACAAAAGGCCATAAATAAATATTGAACTCTAGTTAGTAATAAACATGCTGAGATATTTAGAGGAGAAATATACTAATAAGCTAAAACTTGCTTTGAGTGGAGGGATGGACACAGAGAAGAGGTGGAGGAAGTGGGAAGGAAGCTGTTGCATTGGGGTAAATTGTAGTCAAGTCATGAAACAAAGTGTATGTGAACTGCTGTATGAAAAGTGAATTTGCTCTGTAAATCTTCATCCAAATCACAATATATAAAAATTGAAAAAAAAAAAAAAACTTGCTTTGAAATGCATCAAAAAACAAAATGGAATGATGAGTGGAAAGAGATGGATAGACAATTTTGTGATAAAAGCAAATACAGCAAAATACTTATTGTAGAATCCAAGTGGTAGATAAATGGGTGTTCATCCTACAGTGTTTTTAGTATTTCTCCATGTTTAAAACGTTTTATAATAAAATGTTATGGTTAAAAAAGAAAGTGCCTTTTCCCACCACAGTATTTCCTACTATAAAATGTACATACATTATACTAAAAAGATTACTTACCAGTTGCTAAAATATACTGTCCATCTTTTGACACCTTAATAGTAGTACACACAGTAGGCATTTCAAAATCTTGAATAAGTTCAATTCTCCTACGAACATCTACAAAAAAAACAAAACATTGTCTAGTCTACAGCATGGGGGATCAAAGTTTTCAAAGCAGTCACAACAACCACAAACTTGTAAAAAAAAAAAAATTCCCAATGCTTCCAAGTCTTAGAAAAGGGCACATTAAACAGCAAAGTTTTTCCTTAGCTTATACATTATTTTTCTAAGTACTTTATTTTCATTGTTTCAAAAAAAAAAGTACTGTCATTAATGGAAAAAACCTGTCCAAGTAGTACAAGTATACAGATTTAAGACATGAATAAAGGGGGAGTTGGTATACCACTAGCATTACCCAATAATGGCTAGGAAAAAATCTTATAATTTTCTTCTAAATAACAACAGTATTACCAAACCAAACCAAACTCACTGCCATCAAGTTGGATCTGACTAACTGTATTAAGTCTCCAAAATTTTAAGATTATATATGAAACTACTACAGGCTGACTTTTGCTTCTACTGGTACCACTATACTTAACCCAACTGGAGGAAGACTAAGTGGATTCTTTAATCAAAAAACTAAACTGATCTTCACAAAAAACAGTTTCTTCCTACAAGAGATTGTCACCAAGTGGATTACTGTCAGTTACTATCATGACGATGTGCCTATTACACAAAGACTATTTAACATCCTACGGCACATTACCACCTCATTTATTAAACTCAAATATGACATCTGGTTCATTTAATTTGCAAGACACATACTAGTTTTGAACTGGGTTGGAAGAACTATTAAACAAACAATTTTTTTTTCCATTAATATGAACAAGAGTGTTAGGTTACACGGTAGAACACTAGGAGTGTCTGATTAAATCAGAATCAGTAAACATTTGTACATCAGCCGTTTTTTCCTTTGACTTGAAATTTTAACTTTCCAAGTTTAGTACTATATAAAGCATACTTTTCCAACATGCTTGCCTTAAGGAATTTATCTCCTATCCAGAAACCCTTTTAATATCTTATCTACATGACATTTACAGAAAAAGTTAAATAAAATGTATGGGGAAAAAAATCATCTCTCAAATATGACAAGCAGTAATAGAGAAAATTTAATGGAAATTTGTCCACTATAATTATTTAAATTAAAATAATCTATTTTATATCCTACTTTCCCTGCTGCCACAACTTAAAGAATCAAAATCCTTTGCAATGATCATATTCATATTCCTGCATGTAAAACCACTTTGTTCAAAAAGAAAATGCTCATTGTCTCTGTACCTCAAAAACTGACAAATGGGTTTAGGTAATGGAGTAAGATTTTATACATTGAAGAACAGAGCAATTATGCAACTATTAGGAGGCACAGTACCTCTTGGGCCTATTGTGTTCCTATATATCTTGCTGGGTACGGCAAGGCTGAAAAGCCCTTGGCAGTCTTCTACCTGAGCCATTTTTCAGTGTTGTTTATATAGCTGATAACCTCAAAAGAAGAAGTAGCATTCTCCCTCTGGACAAAAAGTAGACTTGCTTACTGCTTACTATAAAAGCAGTGGCTCTCTCAAGCTCAACGCCCCTCAGCTGTAATGCTAACTCACTACATGAGCATTGCCCATCTAGGCCATATTAAGTTACCCCGTTGGGACTTAAGAACAAGGGGAAATGACACAAATATGCTGACATTCATGCTATTTGCTGTGTTGTCAGTAACAAAGTCCCTTATGTCTTCTGCCATAATCCATGAAACAATAACGGAATAAATAATTCAAATCCCATACATACCAGGAACACATCAACTACAAAAAAAATGTTTCTTAAGAAGGGAAAAGGTAAAACAAAATTTTATTTTCCTCTGTATTAATTCAATGCATTTTCATACACCTTCACTTAAATATGGTAACAATAATGAGTGAAAGAATTTTAACATAGATCACTAATGTAGCTAAAGTGAGGATAAATATTATACTCACCAACATCCTTCTTCTGTAGTGCTCTCTTCTTCCTGTCAGAAAGCCACTAAAATAAAAAGAGACTATTTTAAAACAAATTTATCAAAATTGTTTTTCTGCTTGTAAGAACAGTACACACAATGGAAAAATCACACTGATTAAGGGTAGAGTTGCACAGTCGATCATTTTAATTGCTATCAAGTACCAAACCAAAGCAAACTCACTGCTATCAAGTCGAGTCAAGTCAACTCATAGTGATCCCTCCTTCTGTTTCCAAAGCAGTATTGCTATGGAAGTAGATTGCTGAATCTTCCTTCTAAGGAGTGGCTGGTGGGTTTGAACCACCAGCCTTCTGGTTAGCAGTCAAATGCCTTAGGCACTACACTACCAGAGCTCCCATCAACAAGTAGTACACCTAAAAAAAGCTAAAGTGGCAAAAGCTGTTGATAGATATGCTTACAACAAGAAGAAAGAGCCTGCTGAAACTGCTTATGTACAACCAAACACCTCATGGAATTTTGTTCCTTGGTTTGGAGGTTTGTTGTTGCTATTGTTAGGTGCCATCAAGTCATCTCGGACTCATAGCAACCCAATGCACACCAGAGCAAAACACCGCCTGGTCCTGAGCCAGCTCCATGATTCCTGCTATACTTGAGCCCATCACCACTGCCACTGTGTCAATCCATCTCATTGAGGGCCTTCCTCTCTTTTCGTCGACCCTCCACCTTACCAAGCATGTCATCCTTCTCCATGGAATGGTCCCTTCTGACAACATGACCAAAGTAGGTGAGATGAAGTCTGGCCATTCTCGTCTCCAAGGAGCATTCTGGCTGCACTTCCTGCAGAACAGACCTGTTAGTTCTTTTAGCAGTCCATGGTACTTTCAGCATTCTTTGCCAACACCACAGCTCAAAAGCATCAATTCTTCTTTGGTGTTCCTCATTCATTGTCCAGTTCTCACATGCATATGAGGCAATTGAAAATACCATGGCTTGTGTCAGGTGCACCTTAGTCCTCAATGAGTCATTTTTGCTCTTCAGCACTTGAAAGAGGTCCTTTGCAGCCCATTTCCCCAGTGCTATATGTCATCTGATGTCCTGACTACTGCTTCCATTGGCGTCGATTGTAGAACCAAGCAATGTGAAGGCTCTGACAATTTCAATCTTTTCTCCATTTATCATAATGTTGCTTATAGGACCAGCTGTTAGGATTTTTGTTTTCTTATATTGATATGTAATCCATACTGCAGAATGTATTCTTCAATTTTCATCAGGAAGTACTTCAAGTGATTCCCACTTTCAGTGAGCAAAATTGTATCGTCAGCATATCACAGGTTGTTAGTGATTCTTCCTCCAATCCTGATGCCATGTTCTTCTTCATGTAGTCCAGCTTCTCAGATTATTTGCTCAGCATACAGATTGAGTAAGTACGGTGAAAGGATAGAACTCTGATGCACTCCCTTCTTGATTTTAAACCATGTAGTTTTCTCTTTTTCTATTCGAATGACAGCCTCCCAGTCTATGTACAGGTTCCTCATGAGTACAATGAACTGTTCTGGAATTCCCATTCTTCTCAATGTTATCCACAAGTTGTTATGATCCACACAATCAAATGCCTTTGCATAGTCAATAAAACACAAGTTTCTGGTATTCTTTGCTTTGAGCCAAGATCCATCTGACATCAGCAATGATATCCCTCATCCACATCCTCTTCTGAATCCAGCTTGCATTTCTGGAAGTTCTCCATCAATACACTACTGCAACCATTTTTTAATTATCTTCAGTAAGATTTTACTTGCATGTGGTATTAACTATATTGTTCAATAATTTCCACATTCTGTGGGATCACCTTTCTTTGGAATGGGTACTAATATGGATCTCTTCCAGTCAGTTGGCCAGGTCTCCCAAATCTCTTGGCATAACGAAGTGAGTGCCTCCAGCGGGCCATCCATTTGTTGAAACATTTCAATGGGTATTCCATCAGTTCCTGGAGCCTTGTTCTTCACCAATTCTTTCAGTGCAGCTTTGTTTCCTTCCTTCAATAGTACTGGTTTTTGAACATATGCCACCTCCTGAAATGGATGAAAATCAACAAGTTCTTTTTGGTACGGTGACTCTGTGTATTCCTTCCATCTTCTTTTGATGCTTCCTGAATCATTAAATATTTTGCCCGTAGAATCTTTCAATATTCCAACTCGAGGCTTAAGTTTTTCCTCAGTTCTTTCAGCTTGAGAAATGCCAAGCGTGTTCTTCCCTTTTGGTTTTCTAACCAAGTCTTTGCACATTTCATTTGGAAGTGTAGGGTCATAGTTTCATACAATATCCCAGTTAATTAGCCTAATAAACAGTCCTACCTGTAGGAGGTAGGGCTGTCCTACCTCCTAGTTCACAGCATAGTGCCTGGGGTCTCAAAAGCCTGCAAGCAGCTATCCAAGGCACAATTAGTCTCTATTTGCTTGGAGCAACAAAGGAAGGAAAGTCAAGAAAAAGAGGTTCCTAAAGAGTTCTAG